AAATACCGTCGCCTTCTGTGGTGCTGGAGGTTGGGGCTTCAACATGTGAAAGTGGGGGGCATGTTGCAGCCCATCACAGTAGCAACTCGCAGTGGAGAAAGCCAAAGAGAGCATTGATCACCTGCAGCACCTGAAAAGTGGGAGCTGATCAAACTGTTGCAGCTGGATCCAGGTGTCCCAAGTTGTCTAGGCCCTTGCCCTCGCCCGGCCTCAGCGGGCTTTCTTCTGTCTTGACGTCATCCTAAGAAAGCTCCCTTCCACTGTGGCAAGACGGCTGCCACAGATCTGGGCTTACTTTCCAACAACCCGGCTGCCCCAGGGAACAGAAATCTCCCGACCCAATGGTACCCGGGAAAGTCCTAGGACCACTTCTCATTCACGTGGCATCCTGAGCCAGTCGCTGAGATATTAACAGGTGCAACTGGCTCACATCCTCAGGCCCCAGGGAGAAGGTAGAGGCAGTGTAATCAGACCGCATAGACCCAGAGCCGGGCAGTGGTTCCCGATGGAAAACCAAGGGACTGTCGTGGAGGGAGCGCAGAGTGGAGTAAGGAAGACAAGAAATGTCCCTTCCAGCTGCTTTCCCCTTCATCACATGTTGACCTGCGCATTAGCCCCAAGAGGTGGGTCTTATTATCCTCATTTTCACAATAAGGAAACGGACGCTCAGGGAGGGTAAATCAAGTCAAGTTGCTGATAAATTGAGATCTAGAATCAATTACTGATCTGACTCCAAAACCCATTCCTTTCCTCCTCTGAACTGGCTCTCTAAGCTTCTTCAGAGAAGGGATTTAGCTGCCAGCTTCCTCAACAACTGGCACGACTTTGAGAAATCATAGGCGCTCAACCAGTTAGAGAGGCTGGAGGCTGAGCGGAATTGGTCGCACTTTGGACGTGCTGCGTGAGGGTAGGGGGGTGGGTGGGTTATGCGGCCTCGGGCGCTTGGGGTGGCAGGTAAGGCTCAGGGCTGGGAACAGAGGACGTCAAGGATTCTGGGGATGGAGAGGAAGAAACCAGGATAGACATGCAGAGAGCAGCGTGGGAGACAGAGCAGATGCAGCTTACTTCCCACGGCTCTGCCTGGGGCACATGCGGCTCTCTAGGGGGACTGTCCTGCCGCCTCCCATTTCTCCCCTCCAAGACTTGAGTTTTACTGTATAAGTGAGGGCAGGTCTGCCTGGCTCCTTCAGATCCTTCTCTTTGTTCCTCTACTTTGCAGATTCATTTCCAGACTTCCAAACACCAGAACGTTAAATTCACAGATTGCTCAGTTCATTGTAGCAGAGTGGAGTAATTAAGAGAACAGCCTGGAGGTTCTTAGTTGCTGTGTGACCTCAGGCAAGTTATTTAACCTCTCTGGGCATCAGTTTCTTTACGTGCAAGATGGGACTAAAAAGCGATTGATCTCACAGAGGTCAATCCATCAGAAAATGGATTGAGAAAATCCATCAGAAGTTCTCAGGACAGTGCCCTACATACTATATATGCTCAAAAATAAAAATTGTTGGGCCTTAGTGACACAAGGCTGAGGAGCTTGGCTGGATGGGTGCTGTCCAGCCCGGAGCAAAGACTGTGGTGAGCAGAGGTGAACTCGCTCTTGGTTCAGGGACTTCATACATCCTCAGCTCAGAGCTACAGTGTCCCAGGGGTGAGGGTTCATGGGACCAGCAGGTCAAGGGTGACATCTGAGTTTGCTTTCCTTGAAGAGTGCTTAGAATGGGCTTCTCAGAAGAGGTGAGTCATACAGAATGATTTTAAGAAAGGGAAGTTGCTGATTAATAGGGTGGCATGGAACTTCAAAAGCTGACCTCCATAAAAATGTAACTAGTAAAAATGAAGTCATTTTACATCCCCTCATATTAATTGAGGGCTCCTTTGGCATAGAAATCTATATCCACTGATAATCCCAAATGCACCTTTGATTTCAGAATGCATTTATATATATATATATATATATATATATATATTTGGCAGTAGATTTACTTCCCAATCATGTTTATAGCTTAGATTAATATGGAAATTAACCCTGAAACCCTAGACCATTTCAAAGCACTGGATTTTACAGACCTTGAACTACTTTAAAATAAACATTGAAAATGTGAACTGCATAAAAAATAAAAGCTGATAGTATTAATTTAATTTAATCTCCATTAAAGATATCAGGAATGAGTTATTGAGTTTTTAAACAAAAAAAGGCATATTCTCTGTTATGGACATGTACCACTTATAGATATAGGTTATTTGAATGAAAAATAATGCTTTTTTCAGATGCTAGTTTATTGCTGGATCCCAACTGGGAATAAAGTTCCGTGGGTTTCACTTTAATGATAATCTCTGTGAACACATGCCTTTGTGCAGAGGCATTTCATATCTTTAGCAAGATAGAGCTACCTACCAGGCTTCATCACATCCCAGCCTCTGGGACTCTGGGAGGCCCTGTTACTGGGGAGAATAAGCTTCAAACAGTTTTCGCTATGGAGATGAATTTGTCCACTCACGAATATTCATTGAATAGTCACTACGCGCCACGTGCTGTGTTGCGTGTTTACTGAAAATAGTGGGTGTGGGGAGCAGACATTCTCTGCCTTCGTGGGATAGTGGTTTAGGGAGTGAGGGAGACACGAAATCCATGACCCTAAGGAAATATATAATAATCATTTGGGATAAGTGTGTTCGAGGGTGAATATGGGAAGGGCATTTAATTTGGTTTGCGGAGGTCTTGGGAAGGCCTCTCTGAGGACCTGACATTTAGCCTGAGATGCAAAGAAAGGGGCGAACTTTGCTCATCCTTTATGCAAAGGTAACGCACACGCATGCCCAAATCATTCCACATGTCTGTCACTATGTCTGTGCAAACAAAGCACAAAATTTGCAAGGATCCTTAGTACACCAGGTGGCTAGCTCAGGGTGGGGGTGTAGGGACTGTGGGCACTTACTTTGTGTACTCTGTCTCCAACATCCCTCTTCCCTCGCCCCTCCCCACCAGCTGGGAGATGAGGAAGGCTCAGAGAGACTGTCACCTGCTTCCAGTCACACCCCTGGTTAAGTGGCACAGCTGGGATTTGAACCCAAGGTTCTGCCTCAAAGCTTATGTTTTTTCTCCACAGTAGGAGGCCTCTTAAGGAAGATTTCCCCGGCTCTCCTGCTCCCCACCCACCCTACTTAAATTCCAAATGCTTCATCCTATGCAGGTAGTTGGAATTTCAACTGCCTTCTTCAGTTTAGGCAAAACAAACGGGTCTTTCTCTTTCCTAGAGGGATGCGCTGGACCAGCTGGACCAGAAGAGGCGAGATGCCTTCTTCACCCTTGGGGCTCCTGACAGATGGGCAGCTTAAACTGAACAATTGTAACCAAAGCCCAGGAGTTCCTTTGGAGTGGATAGGTTTCTTTAGTTTCTTTCTACTGGGCTAGAAGCCTGCAGAGATAATTCTATCACCAGGCAGGGAGGGGTGATAAGGCTGGAGACAGAGGATAAATGTACTTGCCTGAGGGCTGGAAAGTAGGTCTGGGGTGTGCCAAGTGTCACCTGTGGGACTGCCACACCTGTGGGGGAGGGAGAGAAGTGTGACATACTAAGCCCCAGAGAAGAGCAGCTTCAAGCTTTTATTCTTTCCTTTTTAACTGACATTTAAAAAAAGAAAAAATCCAGGTAATTATATACAGTAAAATGTACAGATCTTAAGTTCAGTTCAATGGATTGTGGCAATGTATACACTCATGGAATTGCCATCCCGAACCAGACATAAGACATGTCCACAGCTGCAGAAAGGTTTTTCTTTTTTGTGTGTGAGACAGGGTCTCAGCTCTGTCACCCAGGCTAGAGTGTAGCGGTATCGTCATAGCTCACTGCAACCTCCAACTCCTGGGCTCAAGCGATCCTCCCACCTCAGCCTTCCGAATAGCTAGGACTATTGGTGCACACCACCATGCCTGGCTAATTTTTCTATTTTTTGTAGAGATGGGTTCTCGCTCTTGTCCAGACTGAAGAAAGTTCTTTTGTTCCCCTTTCCAGTAACTCCCCCACCCCCACTGCGCTTAGATAACTGGTGCTTGACGTCTGCCACTACAGGTTGGCTTTGCCTGGTCTTGGATTTCATGTGAATGGGATATTACACTATTTATTTCAGTCTGGCTTCTGTCACTCACCTAATGATTATGAGATTCACCCAATTTGTTGCATGTATCAGTAGTACATTCCTTTTTATTGTTGAATAGAATTCCATTGTGCTATGGACATAGCACAGTTTGCTTATCCAGTTTCAGCTGGTGAACAATTGAGTAGTTTCTGGTTTGGAACTGCTATGAATATTTGTGTTGAGGTCTTTTTGTAGACATGTGTTTTCATTTCTTTTAGGTAAATATCTAGGACCTAGGAGTGGATTTGTTGGGTCATAGGGAAATTGTGTTTTACATACCTTTACTGTAGCTTATTTATATCTGAAAGAGAAGCTGCAGAGGCCTTGTCTGCACGTGGTTTTGCTCTCTTATAGGATAACCCTCGGTGGCATCCAGTGGTGTCTGATGGGCCCATTTGGAGTCATGTCCCTGCCCACTGTTAAAATATGCTGGACAAAATGCTCTAAAGAGTCAGAAATGGGCTCTGTAACTTCCTTAATGCTGAGCTGGTGCTCCCTTTCCCTAAGGTGTCACCCCACTGGGGAGTCCCCTGACAATGGGTAGACACCCTCTACCCCCAGGAAGGCACGCAGTGGGATTTCCTGTGTTGGGATGGGCACAGGAAAGGCACCACATGCTGGAGGGCGTGACAGATCCACTACTTGGGTCATTTCTGAGGAGTATAAGAGGTCTAACTTATTGCCAGGAGACCTCATCACTTTGTAAACTAAGCCCCAGAAATGCAGGAGCCTTGTAAGGCAACTCTTCTCTCAAGCTTAACGGGGGACAAAAGCTCTCAGACAGAGCAGGGCACAGCGCCTCAGCCTTTTCCACTTTGATATCTGGAAAAATATTCATTCATTGTTATTTTTGAAAAATGCAGGATCACCTGGAAAGATACCATTTGCATTCTGGGAGAGCTGCCTGCCGACTTCACAAAGATTTATTCCTCACGTCAGTGACTGTTAGCATAGCAGAGTGAAGTGTGCCTGAGAAGCTGTGGCAATAGCAGTGACCATGGTGGCGGTCAAGGCTGACAGGAGGATGCTCTGGGGCAGAGCAGAAGCACGGACTTACAGCTTCAGCCTCAAGGACTTGCAAGCTTCGGTGTTGCAAGGCTCCCGATTCTAGCCATGGGGAAGGGGTTCCAGGTTCCAGAGAGAAAACCGAAGCACCGTGCAATGGACACAAGATGACTAAGTTTGGGGAGGGAATAGATGCTGAGGTTGGAGGTTCTGCAGCAGAGTTAGGGTGTGGTGGGGTGGAAGGGTGAGGGTAGAGCGAGTGAACTTTATGGTCTCAGATCCTGGAGAGAGAAGGGCAGCCTTGTGGGGCAGGGGAGGGGCAGGTGCTCATAGACTGGCACGTCACCAGCAGCAACTCTCTTAACCTTCCCAGCAACTGGGCGTAGGAGGTATTATTATTCCCATTGCACACACGAAGAGACTGAGGCTCAGAGAGGCCATGTCAATTATATCATGATCTGATTCAGATGGAGGCTGTTTGGAAGGCATCCACAGTTTAGATCTGGACTCAGTGGAAGGAAAGGATATTCTAAAAAATGCAATGGCAGACAACAGATAAGAGACTCTCATCACCTCTGTATTTGGATGACTCTTCATCGTCATTAGTATGTTCTGGGGGCCCTCAGCAAGCAGGTTCTCAAGATAGGTCTCCCCTGATGGCAGGAGGGAGCATGGGGTCTCCTCCTCCGTGTGATGGCTGCTCCTGCATGGATGGTCCAGCTGCTGCAGGCCAAGAAGAGGCAGAGGAGGGAGGATGGAGGGCAGGTGACAGCTGGTGCATACTCAAGCCACCTTCACCCAGTCTCTCAGCAAAAAGAAGCAGCAACAGGAGCAGCAGAGAGGCCTGGATTTCAATGGCACCCCAGGCTGCACACCTGTTTTCACCTTAGGGGTGGGCAGAAGCAGCTGATCCTTTCACCCCACCCTTTCCATGTCTTGTGTGCTCTGAAGAAATACCCAACCCTGAGGCTGGGACACCCCCAGCTCTCTGGAAGATGGCCGTGATTATGTGGTTAATAACCACCTCCCTTGTTGGACTTTCTGGAACTTGCCTCTGCTGAAGCTATCCAAATAGTTGTTCATTTCCTCATTTGTTTGCCCACCAATATTTACTAAGTAGCTGCTATGCTCTGTGCTGGTCCCGTAGCTATGGTAAGCAGTCCCTGCCCTCCAGAAGCTTACAGTCTGGTGGGGAAGGCAGATAATTCTCTGTAGCCCCCTCTCTGACCTGCCCACACTGTTCTCTCCCAGGGCTTACACCCCCTGGGCCCTGCCTGCAGGCCATACACCATGATGACAAACACTGGGCTGCTATCAAAAGCCCCATTGAGAGCTCGTCATCGTGCATATAAAGTAGCAGTGTTGGTCCTGAACCTGACCCGAGGAGGCACAGCTATTGTCAGTGCTGTTTTGACAGCTCTTGACAGCAGGTGTCTATCAGCTCCCGTTCTTCTTTTTCCCACTCCCACTGTTTTTTTGCCAGTCTCAAAGTGTCACTTCCATTTGGAAGGCATGGAAGAAGTGAGGTGGTAAAAGGAACCAGTCATCACTCATCCCATTGACCAGGGTGGAGGTCAGGCATGGCCAGAGGACAAGTGGCATCTGTGCTGGAACATCCCAGGATCATGGAGTTGCTGATAGAGGGAGCTGGGGTCATACCCCCCTTAGCTGGAGCCCTTCCTCCCTCTGCCTCTGAAAAGGATGGTTTTCTTCCATGGACCATCATTGAATGTGGCTTCTCAGTGTCTCAGCCACTGGAAACCAGGAAATTTCCTTAGGTAGGGGTAGAGCAATGAGTGGTAGGGAATGTCCTGGCTAAGGGCTTGAGCTGTGGGAGACTGGTTTTAAGAGACAAAAAAGGGAGTGTACATAAGGTCATGAGTTAAGGCTTTGGAGTTGGACAGACTAAGACTCAAGTCCTAACTCTGATCTGGCATTTCCATTGCTAGGTATATACCCAATAGAAATGAAAACATTCATCCATACAAAGACATGTATACAAAGGTTCACAACTGCATTATTTATAACAGCCAAGAAGTAGAAACAATCCAACTGCCCATCAGCTGGTGAATGGATAGATCAAGTGTGGCATATCCATACAGGGGACAGCTAGTGTACCATGGTCAGAAGGAAGTACTAATACATGCTACAGTGTAGACGAGCCTTGAAACCGTCATGCTAAGTTAAGAGAAAGGCGCCCGATGGGAAAGAGCATAGGTTGTATGGTTCCATTTAGATGAGAGGTTCAGAAAAGGCAAATCTATAGATACAGAAAGCAGGTAAGTGGCTGCCTGGGGCTGGAGAAGGGAGGACAGGGAGTGATCACAAATGGTCAGAGAATGATCTTTGTGAGGGGATGGAAATGTATTGGAACTGGATGGTGGTGAGGGTTGTCCCACTTTGTAAACTTACTAAAAGTCATTAGATTATACACTCAAAATGGGTAACTTTTATGGCATGTAAATTATGTCTCAGTATAGCTGCTATAAAAATTCTAACTATACTACTTATTAGCTGACAGACCTTGGGAAAGGTAAAGTTACCTAACTGCTGAGTGTTCGTCTATAAAATAAGGATAATGATACCCACTTCATAGGCTCTTGTGAGAATTACGGGCCTGATTCATAATGAGCACTCAGTAAATGTAAATGGCAGCAGTTGGCAGTTGTTACTACTATTACTATTTTTTTTAAAACAGAAATTATTTGAGGCCACATGTGCAATCTTAGCACTTTGGGAGGCGAGGTGGGAGGATTGTTTGAACCCAGGAGTTCGAGACTAGCCTGGGCAACATAGCAAGACCCAGTTTCTACAAATAACAGAAAAATTAGCCAGGTGTGGGTGCACCTGTAGTCCCAGCTACTTGGGAGGCTGAGGCAGGAGGATCCCTTGAGCCCAGGAGTTCAAGGCTGCAGTGAACTATGATCATACCACCACACTCTACCCCAGGCAACAGAGCAAGACCCTGTTTCAGAAAAAGAAAAAAAAAATTTAAGTTACTTGATTTAGAAAAGAGAGAGAGAGACCAAGAATCTCTCTTGGTGTAGCAGTGAAATGATAGGATCCGAGGGCTTTTGAGACTTTACCTGCTCTCTCTATACTAGGTAAATGTCTTTAATGGTCTACCTCCATAATACATTCCTGAATATCCTCTCTGAATGCCAAGGTGTCTGGTTAAAACAAACAAACCAACCTCATACCAGCGAGAGGCATGGTGGAGACGCCAGTCTTCTGGTCTTCCGTAGATGCTCACATCCAAAAGACGTTGATGGTGCTGAAGAGAAGGTGAGGAAACTTTGGGGTCCCAGTGGTGTCTAGTGCTCCTAGTTTCTCTCTTCTCATTCCACCTGTTCACTTCTATTTACCAACCCAGAAATGTCTTTGGCATTTGCAGCGAGCCACAGCTGGGCTGAAAGGTCCTCCTCTGCCTCTGGGCCCTGCTCTCCTCTGGATCTCATTCCCAGGAAACTGCTCCCCTCGTGGTGACAACAGGGTTTTCAGCAGCCCAGGCTCCTGTTCATTCCCCAGGGAATGGGGCTTAACAGCCCCAGGGAAACGCTGGTTTCCCAATAGTTTCAGCGAAATGTCCAGCATTTATTTTCACATGGCCTGAACCACTGTGGCCTACAGAACACAGCGAGATGACTGGCCGGGCCTAGTCACGTGTCCTGGGGCAGGGAGGAAGTCAGCTCCGCTAAACCAACGTTTATGGAAAGAGGAGGGGAGGTCTCGCAAAGCAAAGTTGGGATTCTTACTAGAGGCAGAGGGAATAACTGCTGGGCAGAGAAACCACAGACGTCCGCTATGACTGTCCCCCCTGGCGCCTCCACCTTCCCGGGCGAGTCTTAGAGGAATTCCAGAACTGTCGTTTGAGGACCACCTTGGCCCTGCTCGATGGACTCCCTTGGTCTATGGTTTCCTAGAGGCCCCAGAGCTGTGCTTCTATTCCAGCAGAGTCGTGGTTAGCAACTTCATTTTAGTAAGAAAACTTTAATCACATGTCTCATTGGCTCATTTTCAAAGCATACATTTCAACACTTAATGAAAACACAACATCTGTATTATGAATTCTCAATAAGGAATCTGATGCCAAAGATGTAAGTGGCTAACTCATAAAAATTTTGATTTCAAAAAATAATTTCCACTCACTATTGTGTAGGGCATCAACAGTCTGATGGTTCTTAGATATTCCAACATGCACCCCTGGTCAGGCCGGGACCACTGAGTGCAGTGTGCTCCGACTGTATGGCTTTGGCGCTGCTGAGCAACTGGCTTGTGGGAATATGCCCTTGGCTTTTACTGCAGGGTGCTATACAAAGCAGTTGTGTCAGTCAGGGTATTCCAGGCTATGTTGTAACAACAAATAAGCCTTCTATTGATAGTGATTAAAAATTTTTTTCTTTTTGTTTTTCTTTTTTGTTTTAGACTAGACTAACACTGTAGGGATTAAATATTAATACAGTAAAGGCTGGCTTTCTGTTCACCCTATAGTCTAGTGTGGGTCAGGTGGTTCTCTTCCAAAGGAACTGGGGGACCAGGCTGCTTCCACCTGGCACCTCAGCTCTCTCTCAGTTTTCCCTTTCATTCTTGGGGATGAGAGGGGATTGGAGAGCAAGTGAGTAGAATTCACCGAGACTTACATCTTCATTCATGAGAAGTCAGCGACATGATCCCATCCTCACTGCAAGGGAGCCTGGGAAATGTAGTCTCCAAGGGCCTCAGAAGAGAAAAGACAGCAGCGGACACACAGCACTGTCTTCTCCACATTGGTTGTAGGGAATACACATGCATAGTCACTACACAAGGGCTGTGACATTAGAGCCATGTGTATAGTTGCTACACGAAGGCCGAGACATTAGTGGTGCCAGGTCTCTTGAAAATGAGAGGACAGATGAAACTAAAAACAGAACTGGTTTAAATTTGGAAAAGTAGCCATTAGACAACCTCATACCCTCTCCTCCACCCCCAGCCTCACATGGGGGACAACTGATTTCCTCTCCCTCTCCCAGCAAAGGGAGGGAGCTTTCTTTCCTAGAGAAACTGAGGCAGAAGATTCTGAACTCATAGCTGAAGACATGGCTGAGTGAAGGGATGGTCTCATATTAAAACAGGAACATTAAGTGGAAGTTTCTACACTGCAAATCGGCACGCTTGGCTCCAGAGCTCTAGCAGTCAGAGTGGAGAGTAGAAGATTCTTCTCCAAGGAAACCAGTGAAACCAATAGAACCTGCAGGACTTGGCACTGGCTTCATCGCACGGCACCCTCTTGATGAAGCCTCCAAAGGAATTTCTCCCAGACCTTAGTTGGGCTTCTAAGAAAACAAAGCTGAGGAACAGGACGTTAGGATCATTGCGAGTCTTGTAAGGGAGGGAATTTCCTTCTTTGCTTTGCCTCTGGGACACAGAACTCCAATTTCCAGCCATCTCAAGCAGCTGTGTGGGAATTCTGTTATGCATTTCTGGGCATATTCCTGACTTCACTGTGTCACCTCATTTTAGTTTCACCCTGATTTCCATTGGTCGGTCACTCACTCATTCAACAAACATGAGTGGATTGAGTGTGTTCTCGGTGTTGGGGGCCAGGGACTATCTTTCATGGCCCTTGCACACTGGCGTTGGTGAGTGTCCTCAGTTCTGTGTTGGAACATGTGTGGGTGCACAGCGGTGTAGACAAATGCGTGCACAAAGAATAGCGCTGGTCACCCCTCTGTGATGCAGGGGGATGTGCCTGACACAGTCGCCGAATTCCCATGGTGTCTTATTGCCTCTGCCACAGTGGTGGGTGGGCCTGGAGGGGACGCTGTGGGGGTGGGGTTCCGGGAAATGTGTGCTTGCTCATGGAGGGCAGCAAGAGAGACGAAGGGGTGAGCTCTAGTCTTACCACTCAGGTGTCTCTCTGAGGAGTCTCCACTCTGGATTTATGCCCCTCGGTTCCTGAGAAACCCCACAAGGCCATGATGTTGCAGCCCCCCCCCCCCCCCGCATTGGCTGGGAGAGCCCGGGGTGTGCAGAACACAGGTGACCTGCCCTGGGAGGGACATCTCTGGTCCAGATGGGCTTGAGGATGTTTGCCATAGGCCACAGCCCGGCCTTTGACTCCGTCCTGTGTTCTGCATCACTGCATGTGCACGCACATGCTCACACACATGCACACTCTTACAGGGAAGTTAATAGAGATCTACCGCCCTCGTTACCATTTGCTTTCATAAATAAATATATTAAATCGGCAAGCCAGATTTATTTCTGGCAACGGCTTGCAGGCGACACCTCCCCCTCCTATTCACAGTTCCCGAAGCAACCCCAGCCTCTCCCACCCCACCCCCAGGCGTGCCTTTCTCTCTTAAAATTTTATTTTTAATTTGTTGTGATGAATGAGTGACACCTCTGACAGCCGATTCGCGGAGATTAATAGAAACGACACAATATTTACGCCGGCGCTACGAACAATTATCCTGCCATCTATCTCTGAGATTATCTTCCTGATTGAAAACTACTCATCCGTGTAATCGGAATTATTTGGAATTAGAAGGGAATTTATAGCCCCCCTGGAGCACACGCTCTCCCCTTGCGTCTACACCTCGGTCTCCATCTTTCTCTTGTCCCTCCTCGGGGCCTCTGGCCTCCTCTTCTGTCCCGATGGTGGGGCAGAGAAAATGCTTCTCTTCTCGAGGGGGGCTGCCTGTCAGGGCCGTGGGCGTCCCTTCAGGGTGGCGCGGGAGTGCACGACGTGGATTTAGAAGTCATGGTTGGTGGCAGGGAGGCTCTTAGTGGTGTCGTAAGAATTAGGGGTCAGCGGGGCCAGCTCATGAGCTCAAGATAGATGAGTATGAAGAGAAGAAAGAGGTTTAATATGAAGGTGCAGAGGAAAGGTGACTTTGGGAAGCAAGTGGTGTCAGACTGTGACAATGTAAGAAGTGTAGAGGAGCAGGATAGGATTCGAATGATGGTGTTGAGATTGCCATTGAGCCTCTGTCTTAGCCAGCGCGGACTGCCATAGCCGACGCCACGGACTGGGAGCTCAGACACAGACATTTATTTCTCACAGTGCGGGAGGCTGGAAGGCAGAGACCAGGGCGCCAGTGTGGATGGGTTCTGGCGAGGGCCCTCTGGCTTGCAGACTGCCACTTCTTGTTG